GTTGGGGGGGGGGGGGGGCCTGAAGCATTGTACCTTTTTTTGCTGTCTAAGATGCAGCTGAATGGTGCTGTTTATTTTATATGGGAAGACATAAGATTCATAAAGCTCAGACTATGCCCTAGAGTCGAAGAGATAGAGCCAGAACCAGCCCAACTGGCTTGGAAGCATTTAGGATGCAGGAAATGGGTCCATTAGCAACAGAATAGTAAACGGATGGAGGATTTGGAGTCAAACTCTACATATTTTTAGATATAATTTAGATGGTATCATGTTAACTACTGTATCAAAAGGGTCAATATATAGAGGATATTTTAGCGAGAGCTAGGATACCTAGATTTATTGCAAGTAAATATAGACATGCAGAAACTTTCATAATACTCTAATTATTAACTATTTGTTGTGTATAGACAGACAAATTCTATTGCTATTAAAGTATACTGATATAAGTTGTTACAATGCAAGTGTTATATCTGAATGATCCTACAGTCATTGAAGTGTAGCAGAACCACTCCATCTTTAACTCTTCTCCACTCAAGGCTAAAGTTGGGGTGTTAAAGCTAATTTATATTGCTACAGGATCATGAAAATATAACAGCTGACTGTAAAAGCTGCTGCATACTCCAGAGCAGCTTAAATGTACATTTGCCATACCCTTTACTTGAAAATTAAGTACTGAATAATACTGCTCTAGCAAAAAAAAATCACATAGACTACACTGCTATCAAGTAATAAGTTCTTACCTGAGATACCTTCTGGCATGCTCATTTTTGTGGCCAACCATGAGATAGTAACATCCTACAGCAAACCACGAGACCTAAACATCAAATTCAAAATAAAGCAGCATTAAAATGCATATAAAAAAGTGGCTAAAGTTGCACACTAAAAATAATGCTACAGAACAAGAATAGTTCTATTTTCACTATATATAAACAACTGAATAAGCTGTAACATCCATTTTAGACAGCATTATAAATGGAATAACAATGTTCACATGACTCAAATCAGGTACAGCCAGGGACAGATCCAGTGGAGTGCAGTAAGGCAGATGCACCCCTTCCCCTTGCACTGCTCTTTCTGACCAACTTTGGTACAGGGGAAGCCCGAAATCTACTCCTGCCCTGCTCCAGGGACAGGCTAGAGCTGTGTAGGGTACTGTGAAAACAGTGGTAGCTGTGGAAAGGTTTCCCTTTTCTGCACCTGCCACTTCCCTACTGTGATCTCCACTGGCCAGAAGCAAGCACTGAAGGTAGGGACCCACAATCCCCTGCTGCCACTGTCCACAGCTGATGCAGGCATGGGGGGAGACCCAGAGTCCCCTGTCCCCCACAGCTCTGCTCCAACTGTGGGCAACACAGAGTGGCTCACAGGGTGCTGGGCTTGGCCAGGGACAGCAGTGACAGAGGAATGCAGGTTCCTCCTTCCAGGCCCTACTCCAGTGCAGCAGAAGACACTCCAGGGAGGGATGTGGAGGAAGGTAACCAGACAGGATGCAGGCACTGGAAGGAGTAACCCATGTGCTGCCACTGCTGTCCCTGTCCGAATCTGGAACCCCATGAAGCTGCTCCCAAGAGCTAACAGCCAGATCATGTCAGAGGAAGCCATCTGGGGGAAAGTGATCACCTAATAATAGAATTCACCATAAGACGTCGAGTGGGTAAGGTAACTAGTAGGGTGAAAGTGCTAGACTTTAGGAAAGCTGATCTCAATGAACTCAGGCGATTAGTCAAGGACGCACTGCAGAGTAGGAGTTTTGAAGTGATGGGAACCCAAGAAGGGTGGCTGTGCCTTAAGGAAACGATCCTTCGGGCACAAAGCAAGACGATCCCCGTGCGAGGTAAAAGAGGGAAAGGGGCCAGGAGGCTTCCCTGGCTGACCAGAGAAATCCAGGGCAGCCTAAGGGCCAAAAGGGGAGCACACAAAAAGTGGAAACAGGGAGAGATCACCAAAGACGAATATACCTCCTCTGCTCGTGCTTGTAGGGAGGCAGTTAGACGGGCCAAAGCTACCATGGAGCTGAGGATGGCAACCCAAGTAAAACACAACAAGAAATTGTTTTTTAGATATATAGGGAGTAAAAGGAAGGCCCAGGGAGGAATAGGACCCCTGCTAAATGGGCAGAAACAATTGGTGACGGACAGGGGGGACAAGGCTGAACTCCTCAACGAGTTCTTTGCCTCAGTGTTCCTAAGCAAGGGGTACGACAAGTCTCTCACTGGGGTTGTAGAGAGGCAGCAGCAAGGCGCCAGACTTCCATGTGTAGACCCTGAGATGGTGCAGAGTCACTTGGAAGAACTGGATGCCTTTAAGTCGGCAGGCCCGGATGAGATCCATCCGAGGGTGCTGAAGGC